CACATTCATCATAAACGAAGAAGAGCTTCACACATAAGTAACTCAGGAAGGTATATTAATAGCCGTTTTAGGTCGTGCGAGTTTCAGCGGATCCTTAGTCTTGAAAAGGCGATTCTAAAAACAAGGCCTTAATCGGCATGAAAACTTCGATGCACCCTGTAACCTGATAACGTAAGCTGTCCGCTGTAGTAACCGCTGCCCCCGAGAGGGTTAAATCTGTCTTAAATCATTAGTTTAAAAATATATGACCTCATGATTCGTACGATTTTATGATTGCATAGAAGTTGCAAATTTCACAATAAATTATTATTGTTTAAAAAAAAAAAAGTCTCGCGAATGACCCGTGTGGTAACATTGCGCAATCTCGATGGTGGAACCTGGAAACCAACAATGTGGTTTTTGTCAGGAAAATTCATCATTCCTCATTAAAATGTACTGTCTTTGAATTATAACACCCCCCACGCCCCCCCCCCCACACACATACATACACACACACACACTTTGCAGACTGAGAAAAAACATTGAACTCTAAAAGCTTATCTCGACCGACTGTCCAAGCGTATCTCATGAATCATCCACTGTTTGCGTATTACATTCATGTCGGTCCAGCGGATTTTACAATACAAGGCATTTCCATACTGTCCATCTGAGATCCCTTTTGGACGGTCTCGTTCCGGCGTCTGTATGACCAGTGAGGACAGACGTGAATCACGGCAAAGAGAGGCCTAGCTGTCGGATCTCCGGGAGCCAAGTTGACAATGAGGGTGAAGCGTTTGAGTAAATCTTATGCGAGTCCCACCGGCCCCTCTGGCAAGGGCCTCCGTGATCGGGTTTGAGAAGCCCCGAGGATGACAGGTGCTTTCCGTAATGCCTAACTGATGAGAGCCAATCAGTGCGCCCCGATTTCTGCCGGCTGTGCCGTTGTTGTCATCTGGCCCGCCAAAGTAAAGATGAGCTTGACTGACAGATGCATCCGGGGTTCACAGTTTATTGGTTTCTACCAGAGAGCCAGATATGCCAATTTAGACAGGGTAGTGACAAAAAGTTCCCGTCTAAATGGAATAATTTTACCGCTGGGAATTCTCAGCTGGGAGGAGAAGGGAGCGTGAGTGTGCGTTTGTGTGTTTCTCTTTGTGGGCGTAGCTGTCTTTTAACAAGGCCTGAATGACAAACGCGGTTCGAGGCTGACAGAAACTGCAACTTTTGATGCTTCGCGGGGGATCCATGAAATAAACAATAGGCAGAGGAAGTGGAGGAATTGAAATAAAAATTGAGCCCCCTTCAACACAATGAAATCAACGCATGAATGTGTTATCGTCACTGTCCGATGCAAAAAAAAAAAAAAAAAAAAGTGCCCGTTGACTTGGATGTACTTACAGACAAGATTTTATTCTGTATTTTATTCATTGATTTATTTTTTTAAATTTACGTTCTGGGTGAGCTTTGAATATGCCACCACTCGAGTCAAGAGAGAGAAAAAAAAATGACCGCGCCTGTTTGCTGAGGCGTTTCCAGTCAAACGTGCAAATGAAAACACATGCTAACAGATGCTAACACTGAACTAATCATGCAGCCAACCTGAGATGGGGTCAGAGCTTCTGATGTCACACACTAGGCCACGCCCCTTAAATGCACACATCAACACATAAATACTCCTGTGTGTGTGTGTGTGTGTGTGTGTGTGTGTGTGTGTGTGTGTGTGTCTGTGTGTGCGTGTGCGCGTGCGTTCCACATTATAAAACCATTTTTATTTCTTTGAATTCTCTTTGATGCTGTTTCTATATTCGGGCTGCAACTGATCATTATTTGAATATTTTTAGTTTAAAAATCAAATAAGATGCTGTAAAACTTTTTAAATTATTATTATTTTTTTTTATATTGCCTCTGAATAAAGTATTTATTTATTTAATTTTATCCGACCATTTTACTGGCACCCTTGGTGGGAAGAAACAAAATACGTCATTTATTTTTGTTGTTGTACTTTTTGCGAGTATTTACTATATTTTTCTGATGACTTCGTAGTTTTACTCCATGCGTCCATCTATTCGGATTTCTGTACCTTCTACCCCTTACTTTGTCGAAATAGGCTTGTTACTTTTTTTTTTCCCCAACCTTTGCCAATAACGTGAGCTTTGAAAAAAAAAAAATTTAATAGAGAGAGAGCTAAAGTCAACCAAATTTGACAACTCCGTGGCCTTGAAAAAAAACAATAACGGCTATGATAACCCTTCATTAAAAGAACAACGTGCTTTTGCGAAATAACAACGGGTCAACCAAACACAATCTTCTGCCGCTCTTGAAATAAGCTCTAATGGCTGGCAATGTTTGGAACCGATGTTTTCAAATATTTTCCACTTCTGTCGCCTTTTCTAACTCCACGCGAGAGTCATTTCCTCACATCTGGAAAAAAAAAACAAAAAAAATCAAAAAACGCCGATACAGCTGCAGCAGCGGCCTCACCCGGAATCCCTGCAATCGGAATCCTTGGTCCTCTTGAGGCTTATCGCAAGGAGACGCAGGAGTCGGCGAGTGACATATAAAAGAATTTATTTCTCATGTGCACAAAAGGAATTGGAACAGAAGTGAAACAGAGCAATGATTGAGGCCACAGGGCTTTCCATATAGATTTTCTCCTCAGAAATCCTTTTTTTTTAAATTTTTTTTTTTTTTAATGTCCGTGACACATCTCCTGTATCATCTTTACAACAGAGCCATTCCCTCAGAGGTGCTCCACTTAGCACCGCTAAGATTCCCGTCTAAATGATGGCGGTGTGCACTCTGCCCTCACTTCTTTTCAGACATATCCAGCCGCACGGAGATAGAAATAAGCCGGCGCGGCTCCCTATCGGAGCACTCGGTTTCTCTGACATCATCGTGGTACCAGAGGATGTACAGTCAATGGGTTTACTCGTAGGAAGGAATGAGATGAATTGTGTCTATACATTGAGAGCTGACCATAAATTGGATGAACCCAATGATCACAACATCTATAAGTGGCCAACGGGACAGCAGTAGTGTAGATTTTTTAAATTGTTTTTTATTTTATTAATTTTTTTTTTTTTGCCACCGACTAATCCCCGATGAAAGAAACGGACTCGGGCGTCGCTCTCCATTTCCGCCTTAGAAGCGTTAGTCCGAGGCCCGACAACAGAAGATGATACGGAAAGCCATTGAACTTGTTGCATAGTGACATAAAACATCGTCATGGCGTTATCAGGGACAGCAAATGACAAAGGACAGTCTACGTTTTTGCGATGTTAGCCTGCTACAAACGGCACATAGCCCCGGGGGTTTTACACAGCGGTTGCGCCTTCCTCTACAGCACAACGTGACAATTAAGACACACATGTAAAATGCATCGGTCTGCTTATCTACAAGGGGAGCCGGTTCGGTCGTGTGATGCCGCGACGCGTGACTGTTATATACAAAGAGGAATTGTCTTCACAATATTCACAAATCATTCTACAAAGCAGCGGGGGACAGAAGAGTCGCCGGATTTCGCCTCGCTCGTCGCGTTGTTAGCGGCATTACGTTTATTGAAGATAATACTGCTTCATTTATGCACACATACACTGTAAATAAAATATTAAATATCAAACTAAGTCTTTGGCAAATGTAGTGAAAAGTACATTCACAAAATAGTTAAAATAAAAAAAAGAAGGAACCGGTATTTTCTTTCAGTCCACAGCGAGAGTGAAACGTGAGGCAAAATGACAGTGGTGTGAATGTCTTGAACGTACTCCAGTGGCATGGCGTTGAACAAATAAGATTATAAGGCATATGTTGAAGCTAATTTACAGTTGGTATGCTCAACTGTAGGCATCTAGCGGTATGACTAAATAGCTGAATAGGATGTTTTTTTTCTTACGTAGCCAAGGAGCTATGGCTTAAAAAGTCCGCTGACTGACTTCTACTGATGTCTACGCACACCACGTCGGTCTTGTTAAGGAAAAAAAAAAATCATTTCTGAATGAGAGAATTTGGAAAATAAACCAACTAAGTTATTGTGCAAAAAAGGAGCAAGTGATGTCCATGAGCATAACTGGAATATTTGCAAAACGTGACAACTGCGCTCAAAATCTTTGTGGGGTTTTTTTTGTTAGTTTTTTTTTTTTTTAACATGACAATTTGTGACAGGAAAAAAAATAATTTAACAAATTTAAAATTCCGAGTCGACAAGTTTATTTTTTTGGAAAACAATTTACATTTGATTGTTTGCCACATCCGTAGAAGATGCTGCCATTTTTTTGCGGGGTCAGCAAAGAGGAAATGCTTTGGATCACGTAGCAGAAGCACCAGAGTCAGGGCATTCCTACCACACGGAGCCAATGATCATTCACGTCAATCGGGGGCCTCTCGACACAATTCTTTTTACCATTAAAGTCCCTGGAAAGTAAAAATAAAAGTCTTCTAAATTTGACATATCACAAAGAAGTGTTGTCAACAACCCTGCTAAATCTGAATGATTTAAAAAAACTGCCAAGCATTTAAAAAAACAAAACAAAACAAACAAAAAATCATAATCAAATGTATCCCACCAGAACTTTCCACACCATGGTTGGTGAGAGGCGCTAGCTACCAATTAGCTCGCGAGCTAGCCGAGAGACGAGCAGTTGGCTCATTTGCAGCTTCACCTCCTCATTTGGGAATTTAAATAAGAACATCGAGCAGTTCGGTAAATTGTGGCTGCTATCTTAGCTATCTGGCAGTTAGTTACTTATTTACTATCATGGATTAGCTTCTTTGTTAGTTAGCTAGCTAACTAAGCTAGCTTCTTTGTGAGTTAGCTAGCTAACTCACAAAGAAGCTAACTCATGATAGCAATTAAGTAACTCTCAATCGTGACGAGTAAACACTAATACAAACAAATGTGTTCAGGTTCTTATATAATGTCGGAGGCAGTACTCATGCTGGACGCCAGAGCACGTCAGTGGGGGCAAAAAAAGAAAGAAAAATCAAGGAAACTGAAATAGTGACAGTGACCGCTACATCACCAAATCCAGTACTACAAGTTTTCAGTTATTGTCTCCAAATGTGTACGGTATAATTTGAGCCAAACTGCTGAATTCATTTTGCAGGGTCTTTGAGAGCAGAAAAATACTGCCGTCGGCGATGTAAAAAGAATCGTGAGGAGTGCACGAGTAAAGGAACAACAGCAACAGAGAGGCGAAAATCAAAAGCCACGTCATGTTTGTTTCCGCATGGAATCCTCACACGTCTTCAATTGATATATTTCACAATATATATGTTTATATAATCTCTTCAAAGTCAATCTGTAAATGTTCAGGGCTGTGGGACAGTGACGGCGTGATGGTTGCGGTGACTCTTATGCCCCGAAGTGTGTGACGCTGACGCATTGGCATCCACCTTGACGATCCTTCCTCTCGCCCGCGTGACCTGGTGGCTTTTCCTTTCGGATCCCCCTTCTCACAAATTCCCTTTTGACCTCAGTGTTTTCTCAGACGGGGACGATATGGAGGCCAAAGCCGTGGCCCTGCAGTTTGAGCTGGTCTCCATGGTAACTAGTGGCGGTCGTAGGCAGCGGCAGCAGTGGGAGGCGCGGAGCCACGGGATGCGGCACTATAATAATAAGGGGAACCTGAAAGTTAACAGAAGAACGAGTCGTTGGAAAACACCGTCGTATCCAGACGAAATGTATCGCTCAATATATGTTGGACGGTTTGGTACGCACTCCACGTACAAGACTCACTTACTTAGTAATGCTGGATTGCTGAACCGCCATGCTTCGTTGTAAGTAGTGTATTGTGGATGAGAGTAAGGGTTTCCAGAAAAGTCCCCTCCTATAGAACAACGCATCAGCAGAAACAAACATCACTCAAACGATAACCAAAGTAGCTGACCATGCAGAGATTCTTTCAATTCATTTCGGCCATGCTCCTTGAGAATGTTTTCATTTTGTATTTGTGTGTGTATTAGATCAGAAAACGGTTGGATGGATGGATAGCGAGATTCACACGTTCTTTATCAGTCAATCAAAGTCACTGTCCACTGTAGTATCCGCTGTCCCTGAAAGGGTTAAGACTCTCATTCTAGAGGCTACTCTGAGTTGGACACATTTCCATCGGGGCAGCACAGTTGATTTCGCAAATACGGAATCCCTGCTCAGAATTCTGTTACCGGCAAGGTCATGGTTGTGCCGTTTGCCTTTCCGACGCTCATAAATTTAATCCTTTGCAACTTGAAGGAAGGATAATTCCCTCACCGGCCAATCAGTGGACAGCAGTGGAGTGCAGCGTATCAACTGCAACTGACACTTCAGTGAAGGGCTACTAACAATTGTGCCGGTTTGTTTCAGATACTTTGTTGTCATTTTCAGCGGAAAAACAATCAAATATGTACAGAAAGCTACAAGTGCAATTGGCACCCCAGTGATAGGCTACAAAAAAAAAAAAAATTGATTCCAGTCTGAAAGGCATAAAATGCGGATCAAAGCCAACCGCTGCAACCGCTACCCCGATGGAGGGATATGAAAAAATGTGCCACTTCCTGTCAGATACTTCGCCGTGTCCTCCCCAATGGAAACTGCGCCAAACTGAACTGGTGGAAAATTTGGTTTCCTTCTTGGATTTGTTGCTCCGCCAAAACCTTGATTCTCTTTGGCTGTTCTGCTTCCCTTTTAGCTCTTTAGCTCGTCGACTTCGATGACGTGAACGCCGTCGCGAGTAAATCAAGCGAGCCGTCTTTTGAGTTGTTCCATGCCGCCTATCTGTTGTGTGCCGCATCCGTCCATGTTTGTCGTGTAACCAGAGCTCATCCCGGAGAGAGATAGTGATTTAAATATTTACAGGCCCTCCACGCCTCTGTGTTTTGACCCTTAACTGTTTGCTATGAACCTGAACTGCAGGTTAAGTAGAGGGGAAAGAGATACGCTCCGCAGCCCCGGGTGTCCGGGGAGGCGAAGAGAAGAGCGAACGCGCTGTTTATCGACAGGGCTGGCGAGAGCGTGCCGTGTGGACACGGCGAGGGTAATGAGCGCTGGGAGCTGGAGTGTAACTGAGAGGAACTGTCCTATCTCATGGCCACTGATTGTGGTGATCGCCTATTGAGTTCATCTAATGTCCTCGTCCGCGGACGCAAACCGCAATCTAACACGGCTATAACAAGCTCGCTTCAACCCCGGGCTCTGGTTTCACATTAGTGAGCGTGTTAGAATCGTTTCATGCACGTCTTTTTTTTTGGTGGGGGGAGACAAGGATGCACATTCAGTCCCTTACAATGAATGACGTGTCACCCACCTGGAACCATTCCGGCGAGTGTCGAGGTGGGGTAGCTGCCTTGCCCCGTTGGAGGGACGTGAGGCGGGTAGCCCGGTAAGGTGGTGCTCGCCATGTCTCGACCTTGAGGACACACAGAAGGAGATGTTTCGCCATGACGCTTTGGATTCATGAATTGAAGAGAGAAATGAACAAAAGTCTCGTTCTGCTTTACGTCATTGTATTCTCCCGCTACATGCTAGCAATAGAGTATCCATCCATCCATTTTCGGATCCGCTTTACTCTCACAAGGGTCGCGGGGCACAACCATCCACGCTCACACTCACACCTAGGGACAATTTAGAGTGTTCAATCAGCCTGCCATGTATGTTTTGGGAATGTGGGAGGAAACCGGAGGACCCGGAGGAAACCCACGTAGGCCCGGGGAGAACATGCAAACTCCACACAGGGAGGCCGGAGCTGGAATTGAACCCTGCACTGTGAGGTCGACGCGCTAACCACTGGCCCACCGGGCCGCCCCGCAATAGAATATATAATGCTGGATTATATTCTAACGTTGCGGACAATTTAAAAATGGTCAATTTGTAAATCGCAACTGTGGGTGGAATACGGTAAACCGTATCGTGGCTTGTCTTGCACAGATTTTAAAAACATTTTTGCGTGGCTTTAAAGAGTACGTTTGAAAATAGCTTTGCATATCCCCAGCGTAGCTCTCTTTGCGGAGGACAAGGACTGGGCCGGCCCTTGAACATTGAAAATCCGTGTATAACTGACGCACTTTATAAATGCTTTGGCCACCCCCCGCCCCCTCCAATTCTGGAAAACAACATTCATAAGCATTCTCCAGAATGGAGGGTTGCCCCTCCACCCGCCACCCCCTCCCAAAAGTAAAATGCCCCGTGATTCGCCGTATATTGAGACCATGCATTGGCCACGTCAGCGTCACTGCATCCCAGGGCCTCATCCACGTGACTTTCGAGAGCGAGCCTTTCCAAAATGATGACGTTTTCTCATCAAGGACGTTAATAAGCCAGCGTTGTAAGCGGCTTTAAAACTGACAGCAGGCCACCGAGAGCACTCTCTGATCTCTCCTCCACATTCAGCCCTCTAATTAAATGTGACAGCACCAGGTCTGGCTTGATGAAGGGGGCACACAGGACACGGAGCCACAGGTCCAAAACAAGGCCTAGCATCGAGCCCGATGCCTCTGCGACGGCTTCCCCCTCCCCGACCTGCTCCCCAATTTGGCCTCCTGTCGCCCCCCTCAGACGTTAGGCCCGTCACGAGGCAAGAAGGTCCAGGAGGCCCATTGTTAAGTCCAGAGACAAGCGAGAGGTCATAGCAGGAGAAAAGCAGGGTGAAACTGGGGGAGAGGGTAGTTAGTGTTAATGAGCGGGAAGCTTCTGTATAAACAAAAGTAAAAAAAAAAAAGCAGGGATTTCTTTTTTTTTTTTTTTTTTGCATGCTACTCCTTGGCAGAGACAGATAAATCTAAAATTAATGGGTTAGTTATTATAATAGAATGCAAATTGGATTGGGTTATATAGGGCCTTAAAGCTGTACCTGCTATAAATTGCTAGCTGGCATTGCGGCTGCGGCGAGGGCCACGGGCAGTGGAGCTGCGAGTGGAAGCATCTACACAGGGGCTCGACTGCTGGGACAACATGTCAGCTAGGGACGAGTTCCCAACAGGAGTTGGTGGGGGGGGCGGAACAAAGGACGCCTGATGGGGCTCGGAAGGTGGATGTGATGGGTGAGGCTCGGCTGGGTGGAAAAGACCTGGAGGGGTGCGGGGGGAGTACCATTTTCCTGATGTGACGTGGACAACGTCACACAGACGCACATGGGACACTTTATTAGGAACATCTGCATAGCTTTCTGAAACCACTGTCCCCCCCCCCCCAAAAAAATGGTTCTTAAAGTCCATGTCAAGTGAAAATAAATGTCTCGTGAAGCGTTGTTAACATCCCTGCCAAATTGGAATGAGGAAAAAACCCCAGACGGCTTCAAAATCGGGAAAGCCATTGACTCCGCTGAATGCACTGAAACCACGCCCTACTCAACTGTTAGCTGTCAATCAAATCCATGATATGGAAAACCAGTTGCCACTTTGTCTATCATCGTCAAACTTTCTACACCAAACACCACCTAAAAAAAATAAAATACTGAGCGATTCAAGTATAACACCAGAATGACCGACATTAAAATACACCGCTGAAGTCGATCTGTAAGTATACATTCAAATCATACAATTGCGCTCTGCGTTTGGCTGGCGAGCAGTTCAGGGTGTCCCCCGCCTACTGCCCGATGACAGCCGGGATAGGCTCCAGCCCGCCCGTGACCCTCGTGTAGGTAAGCAGTTTAGAAAATGGATGGATGGAGAATACAATTGCAATTCATTGAAAGGTTAGCTACAAAATAACTGTACTCGCCCAGTGATTCTTTTAAGTTCGCATTTTACGCCTTCACGTAACATCAGGATTGAGCCGCAAAAATATATGGCCGGCACATCGGATTTTTGTTTGTACCCTCGCGCTTCCACCTTACAATGAGGCACTCTAAAGCGGCTTATGCAACAAGTAAACTTTTTTTTTTTTTTTTTTTGTACATACGTCGATTTAGGTGTGACATACGGTATGTTAGTCTTCGTGGTTCCTCCATTCCAGCACTAATTCTTCCAGTTAAGCAGAAACATACACCGGGGCGAAACGCTGCAACAACACACTGCACCCGAACAATCCAACTAAAAGACCAAACCCATTTCCCAAAAGGTATTTTTTACAGATTTATTTTTGGGTGGTCAAACGGCATCATCTCACGGCTGGTTTCTCCCACCAAATAAGGCGACCGTTGGCTCTCAGGCAGCTCCGAAGGCCGCGCTTTGATCTCATTTAGCTGATGAGCCTCGCCGCGTCTTTCATTCCCACCGACGATCCCTCTCCAACCTATGCAATCAATGTACGCTCTGTGTCGACTCTTTGCGCGTCTGCCGCAGAGCCTCTTCTGTTGGTTGGGGCCTGCGGGGGAGGGATGGCTCTTTCCCCGACACCATGATAGGCTCATTAGCTGCTTCCCCACATCATTGTTGTTTTACAACAAGACTGTGTGTTGCGATTCCTCATTAAGATAAGGGCTGCTCTATGGAAGGGGGTGGGGTGGGGGGGTCGGGGGGGTAATAGCGCCCCGTCAGCACTAGCAACCGAATGCCAGAGAATCGGGCAATGACTGCTTTCCCATAAAATACCACAGTGGGCTTTCCAAATCACATTCCTCCTCTTTTTGTGCAGCTGGAACAGCGCTGTGAATTCTGCACGTGGACAATTCAAGCTAACTTTTGGTTAGCGATGACTTCATGTACGTAAGGTGGACAAGTTGAAATTCGCGTGGAATCCGGTCGACTTGATGCGTAATGGATTGGATTCAAGTTGAAATAACACAAGGCAGGGTTGTTTCTACGCTGCTGAGATGTGATTGGTTGTGGGGACTCGTTCCGGAATCACGCGCTACGTTAGCCCAAATGAAGTAACCAATCCAAGTGATTTCATTGAGTACACTGAAAGAGCATTTTTTATTTTTTTTTTAAAGATAGATGCTTTCAGTGTAGATAAGAAACAACCTCCTTTTTTGTGTGCGTGTCCACGTGATTCAATCATGACGGCGTGGTTGACATGAATACGTGGCAGAAGCGGATCCGGTATATGCTAGCAAGCGAGCCAGCCCTCCGTTTAATTGGCTCTGTCACATTTGCTGCCTAAGAAAGCGCAGTCTGCTTTGAGGATTATTGCAAATAATGCACTCTCCTGCCTCCGTCTAATTATGTCGCCTCTTTAGCGCTTTCAAATTGGTCACATTTCAAAGATCTGTGCGCTTAACAGATCGCGTTAGCCATTACGGCTCTCTCGTCAGAACTGATGGGCGCATTCACCTTGAGCTTGATGATCATCACCCCACCGTTCTTGACGCCGCAGCCTCCCTGAAATATTGAAATTGCAGCTCCGTTACAGAATCGACATCCAGCTTGAATCCAAACTTTGATCAAGGTTGCCAAGCACGGCTTCTCCGCTATCTCAAACATCGCTACGTACAACTGCGGGGCTTGTGTTTTCTCAACACCCCGGCAAGCCGTTGTCAAACAACTTAGCGATACCGGCGCTCCGTTCGAGATCAGTGAACTCTGAAACTAATCAGACACGGTGTTGCTTATTGTCCCGGAGACGAGGCCGAGCCCCGGAGTAAAGGGAGCCTGTCAAATCGCGCGGCCTGATGATGGAGATGGAAGATAAACTCGGGGTCCTTTGGGACCCATCTCCCCAACAAACGTATCGCTGTGAGACCCACAGATATGCTATAGAGTTCTCTCGCATCTGTCTCGGCCGCCCAACCGTCGGCCGCGTCCGCGGACCTCGTCAACCGTAGAAATGGACTGTTAAGAACCTCCAGCAGCCCTCTTGAGTGATGCGTTCGCACATTGCCCCGCAAGAGCCTTCTCTCAAGTGAGCATTTCATCCTTAAACGGACTCCAAGGAACTTTTGGAGAACAAAACACTTTCTGGCTTTTCCACGTTTTGACGCCGGAGGACGTTTGCGTGCGTTGTACTCTAGGTACTCGGGAATGTTTTCCCTCTCGGTAGGACAAACAAATAAAATAAATCTGCTAAATAGAAGGAGCACGTGAAAAAAAGTATCCTCTATCTTTTTTGGTAGATTTGGTGCTTACATTGTCACAGTTCAGAAGATCTGTCTTCCCGGCATTCACGAAACGAAAACTGAATTGTTGAGTGTTGCTCTCCTTTCCCCACATGTGAGGGCATCGCAGTCAGTCGATATACTGTAAAAGCCTGCAAGCGATCTCGCAGGGGAACGAAGGCTCGGAATCCTGCCTCGTCGGGCAAGAGAACAAAACTTCCGATTCATCATTTCACATCAGGTTAAGCGTATTCAAAGGTCAAAGTGCTGTTGTCGGGGGTGATAGCAACATTAATCAGTCCACAGTGGTGTAAAGTTGGTCAAATCTGATCATCAGACAATAAATCAGGTCAACGGTTTTTTTTAGATTACTCTTGCTTCATTTACAAGAATATTTATGACTCAATTTGGACAGGATTTGAAATCCACAAGACTGTAATTGTCCAGTCCAGCCTCTCCCCCAAATTTCAATTTTACTTTGTTAGGGATCAGTAAACATTCGACTCTGCTTTGCTGATTTACAACCACAAATCAAATGTTGATTTGCGCAACCCAAGAAGTGGGCAGTTCGTTTTTCGGCTGGAAGATCATGTTTGCTAAGTGTCGAATTCAAGGATTAGCCTACTGACCGATTCGGTCACTGATCAATGTGTCCTCATGAAAATATGGTCAGAAATCATGCGGAAAATTAAGCCACAACTCGTACTGAGACAAGTTTGTGTCAAGATCATGTCGCGTCCCACAACTTTGACGAAGAATCCAGTTCTTGTTAGAACACGGTTGTTGTCCGCGCATCGTTGGACGTCATATTTTCGAGGACAAAGGATGGAGATTCACTTCACTCCGCCGCCCTCGCTCGTCGCCAACAGTATCGCCGTCCGATTGCCACCGGTACGAATCTTTTAAGAGTCGCGGGTGATCGGCCTAGCTGGAGCTAGCGACGTTAGGCTAACAGCTGGTTTCAACCGCAGTGTGATCGCTGTCAGGCAAACCTCCAAACTGGAAAATAAAGGCAAATTCGGCTTTTGCGCAACAGCAACAAGACGCCGCAAACAACATTTTGTACCGTGAAAACGCCGCGTTTTAGTATTTTCCGTCCATTTCACAAAATTCTTTGAATGGATTGCTCCGCTTAATACACAGAGTGCCGTATAATATGCGGGGTGAGACGCCGCTTCCCAAGCAAACCGCAGCTTCCGCTTCGAGTATTCAGGTCAACGGAGGACATGATTGCGACCGCAACCTTGGAAGACAAACCTCAACTATTCATGAATCCTTCATCTTTAATAGATTATGCAAATTCCAGCACATAAAAATCAACACGATCAATAACAGTGTGGATTTTAATTAGGAGCAGAAAACATATCAAGAATGAATATAATCTCATGACTGCCGCTCCAGTACGGGAGAATAATTTATTGATAATTGGATGCCAGCCTAAGTGAGCGAGGTAATTTAGTTTTTTTTTTTTTTTCCCCTCCCTCCAGCCTTGGCATACATTCCTATGTGCTAATATCACACGCTAACTACGTGCAGCCAGTCAATCTTTGCATAAAAACAATGAAGTCATAAAAAGCGATTTTGAAATGAACGTCGCCGTCTAATGTTTTCAACGACCGCATCAAGGTTTGTTCACTTGGAAACGGAGTTCTATCATCAAGCCTTTGCGCTGGATGGCCCCCGGGGGGCCCCCCAGGTGGCTTGGAGGCCACCTGTTCGGCGTGTGCTCCCCAGAGCGAGACCGCTTTCATAAGGGGAGGGGTGCGGCAGAAAAGACGAAAGAGTGGGGGGTGTGGGGGGGTTCCGGGGGGAGCGCACCTTTCTTCTCTTGAGGCCCAACTTTTCTCGACAAATCCACCTCCCACATACTCAGGAGGAAAAAAGTGGGTCTTTCTTTTCTCGGTTATGGTCTGGGTGGGGGGCTGCAGGGATTATTTGAGAAGGGCCAATGCAGTTTTCAATCACGCTGTCCTCGTCGTTACTTCTCTTACATACACACGTCCACTGCACAATTATGGGACGTTTAATGAAAAAAAAGGGCAAGCAGATTATTCCCAGAAAAACGAAGATCTCATGGGAAGGGACCTCAACTGAAACAATATTTGAATCAACCAGCAGCCATCAAAATCTCCAGGAAGCCACAGTGTAATCTAGACTGCGCTCTTGTGATACGGCGATGACAAGCTATTTATTGCGCCGCACCTGCCATGACCTGCAGACGTGCCATAGATCAGGTTTGTCCAAAACATTTGCGGCCCGCTATCCATTTTTTTTAGCAGCCCATGTACAATGCTGACACCCACACTTAATGTTGATGATAAATCAAAGTAATTTTACAGGTGTATTTGTTAAAAAAGAAAAAAAAACAAACAAACCACCAAACAACTTTGCCTTTAAGTCTGCTTGCTTCATGCTAACTTGTAACGGAAAAACGTCATCGACAGGCTAGGAATGGATATTTGAATACGAATGGTGCATCAACACATGAGGACAGACGATATGATATGCATATATTCTTTATCCTCTGCAAAAATGATGAACATTATTGAGTTGATAAAAAGATTATTCATTTGTCTGCGTTACTTTATTTATACTGCTGGCTGGAGGGAGTGGCAACGAATTCATCCTGATGTACATATTTTAAAAATGATATTCTATTTATGTTTTAATAGTGTACAATATTATAGAGTGATTTATTTTGCTTAATACAAAAGGATTGATGACATTTTCATTTCTTTTAATGCGGGACAATACAATTGTTTTACATTCTGGTTACAGAAAAAAAAAAAGTGCAGTATTTCAAAGCACCACCGTAACTAAAATATCTCAAAAATACATAATTGCTCAATGGATTGGTTTCCATTTCTATTTCTTCTCTCCTATGGCCTTGGAGGGGAAAAAAAGTTTGGACACCCGTGCCACGGGTCTTTGGAAGCAATTCTCCTTTTTGCGGTTCTTTCCCTGCGTTTAATCTTTATTAGGGTCTCACTGTCTTCCACCTCCCCCTCACAATGAGACCGGGCAGCCAGCCCACTGCCTTATACTGCAGCCGCTGTCAATCAACAGGCTATCATAGCCCTTTGATGACAAGAGGGGTGTCGCAGTGAGAACAGCAGCTGTCTCTGATGTGAAGTGCTCTCCCGCAATCTGTTAGCGGCCCGATCCAGCTCTAACACCGGCAGCATGTTAAAGGACCCCCCCTCCACCCCCCCCCCCATATCTGAGCAGCTCAGATCATATCGACGTTGAATGTATTCCGAAAAGGAAAAAAAAAATAAAATACTCATCTTGTCGTAACAATTTACCATCCCCGGGAAGCGCCATAAGGAAGACGCAGTCGCTCGGGAGGTTGCTGCGCGTCGGAGTGAAAGGTTGGGAATAGTCAATCGTGGCCTAGAGTCGCGTTTATCTCCGAAGCTTTAAACTTTAATCTCGAATGTGGGAGGATATAGCTAATTATCGCTGTTATCATGCTGCGTTATTGGAAGCCATAAACACTATTTTTAGTCATCAGCTGTTACTACCTTGATAGTGCACACTAAAGGCCCCCTTTAATGGGAAATGGAATGAGTTGGAACGTCAGTGGGAAAACAACAAAAAGCGCTTTCGGAAAATTGTATGGGCTGACGATCAAAGGGGGAATCAAAAAAGGAAGGGATGGAGGGAGGGGGGGGGCTGCTATAAACGGATGTATCGGGTTCATGTTGTTGGTTTACCGCGCGTGGCGACAGCGTGCCGGTCAGACTGTACCTGTCACAACCGAGTAGCTCTGGGAGACGCTGGAGGCGAGGTCGGAGCTGCCGCTGCTGGAGAGGCTGGGCTTCACGTCTTCCAGGCCGGTGCTCAGGGACGGAAGTGAATACTCGTTGGCCTGCATGAAAACACAGAAAATCCAATTAACGGGTCAGCTTAGATTTTTAAACTGAAGGCGCCATCCTACCGAATCGGTGCTAAAGGCACAATGAACTGTAAAATAGATATATTTGGTAAGCACATTCATCTTGTTGTTCATTTAATCACCCTTGAACACGGGAGGAGGGGTCGGGGGGGATTGCGTTTATTTTGTGGCCTCGCTTCCTAAAATCCACAAAATGTAGCTTACGTTTCTGACAAGTATCACAAAAGCAGGACAAGGAATCGCTAATCATGCGACGGGCAAATGAAGGCGAACAGGGGAGATGACACAGAAGGAATGCTAACAGGCTAAGCTATTCCCAAATGTGGAGAAACACCCGGAATCAGATGTTTTGAAACGCACCCACAACTCAGGCTGGAACCCGATTACAATCGAGAGTAATCAACTATGAACGGCAAATTAGCCATGAGCAGCAGTTAATAAGAGTTCGCGGAGAAAATAATACGACGGCTACGCAGCAAGTACGCACGTCCAAAACCTGGAAATGAAATATTTACACGACCACATCTGTCAGCCAGGAGAGGCCGATAAATAGGTCACGTGGCAAATAGCCCCCATGTTTGTTGAATTTAAGAACAAAAAATAAAATTAAGCACGGAATGAACACTTCAATCCCCTTTTAAAATTCTCGACAACAAATAAATTCAGGAAAAAAAAAACATTTGATGACTATTTTAAGGCCTCCACTGATCTTTTCACAATTGGTCCATTTTTGCTATTTAAATTAAGTTTTTAAGTGGCACCATTTTAACCCTTTTAGGGACAGCAGTTACTACAGCGGACCGCTTATCATTTTATCAGGTTACAGGCTGCACATGGGCGGGTTAAGCATCCTGGTAATTTTGACGCGGGAACTTGGAGAATCTAAAAAAAAAAAAGAATAAATAAATAAAAATCCGGAAACTATCCCCGTGATTTTCAAAATTCTTACTGCGTTGTAATGTCCATTGCAACCAAACGCTACATTTTGAAACAGTCACTTTGGCGAAATCTTGGCACATTGTTCCTATACGGTCAAAAGCAGATGGTACATCAAATATTGATTTCAGCAATGTTATTAATCTTTCTTGGCACTCTTTTTCCACCTGGGCTGAGTTTTGAAATCTGTCCAGAAAATGTTTTCATTCTTTTGTTTTTCTTTCAAATCAGTGTAGCTTTGCTAAAGGGACTAGCTAACCCATTCCGAATGACTTGCATCGTCATTTCTACACTTCTGCCTATATGGCGGAATATATAAACAACCGTTCCCTTGAAGCGACTCGGTTCATTCTATGATCGAAATGATCATTTATTTCACCGAGCCCAAAAGTGAAACCTGTTCTAACCTTCCCTATTTCCTCTGATCCCTTATTGTGATTCCTTCCGGATCGTTCCTGTTGACAACACTCTTGCCTGCGTCTGCCGCGCTTTTTGCCCAAACCCCAAGATGTACGCGATGCATGCATTTGGCCTTGTCTGAAGGAGAAGGAAAAGGAAGGCAGGCAGTGGAGGCAGAGCGGGATGAGAGCGGGATTGGAAGAAGAGTGAAAGGACGGGGTGTCAGCTGGCGCTTTGTGCTCGCTCCACTGCAGTCATCCCTGTGACCAGTCAAGGGAGGAGACATTCACGGCTTTGTTGCAGGAGAGACATGTGGTTGTGTGGTTTTTAAAGGAGACGACCCAAAAAAAAAAAAATCTTCTGTTGTGCAATCCTGCTAAGACACCTAAAAGTGGGTTGACAACACATTTTTTAAAACATCGTGAATTCACGTGCTACGTAGGTATGCCTTTGCCTTAAAAAAAAAAAAAAAAAAAAAATCCCATTGATCTTCTTTGCTGCGATGACACTTCCTGGCCGGCCTCTTCTTCAAGGGGATAAGTGTGTATGCACAGCGCTTGTATCAGAGGGGGCATCTGTTTGTCTCAATGGGACGGGGGTCCCCCCCCCACCCAGGGGCGAGCCGCTGACCCCGGCCTTGTCCGCCTCTATCCCAGATAAACTCTAATTGTCTGCTTACAACTGTTCCCTGGCACTAGGCTGGATGTTCCTCTCTATTCCGCCGGGCCTCCTCAGCACAAGAGCCATTTTGTCATGCAGATGAGGTGTGGGCGGGGCCGGGCAGGACTGGGTTGGGTGGAGGGCGAGTGGCGAAGCGCAGTGGGGCCTGAATGACCCGACCACATGGCTGCCAGAAGTGTGGGAGGGATGAGGCCTATTGAGCCCCGGCCTCTTCAAAATGGCTTTTTAATGCTCTGACGCAGACACCAGACAAGCCCCTTAATCGAAAGTGTACCCCACCTTTTCATCAGTTGACCAAAAGGGAGGGGGTGTTGCCAACAGCGGAAGAAAAAAAAAAAAAAAAAAAAGAGGAGGCGCACACAAACGGTGCAAAGCAAGCTGATTAATATTGCCTTAAATTAAAACTGATTTTTTTTTCCAAACCCATTCCCGATGCCATTTTTAGCCCCCCCCCACCTCGTTCCCTCCCTCTTCCACCATCCTCCTGCCTTTTTAATACCTTCTCTTGTGCTCTTTGTGATTGCAAGTCATTTCCAATTCGTTTTGGTATTGATCTTGCCGTAGAAATCACTTTGGTAATTAGCTGCATTAGGGACTGTATGGCGGTTCTGCGAGGCTGTCCCTCTGATTTATCGCCGCTGTAATTCCCAGCGATCGCGCAGAGATGAAAATGAACTCAATTAAGGGCAGCGCTCAGGCAGGCCTGGGCACCCGCGTCGAGTTTGCACGGCAAAATTAATAGTCTCTTGTTGTTTAACTCCGGGATTAATGTAAATAAAGATTAGCCACTATAATAGGCTGTAGTTTTTTCTTTTTCAGTGCCGCAGCAAACGGAAGATCTTATTCGGCCCGCGGTGAAAAAGCTGCGGGAGCGTGTTCGGAAATATGCCCCAAAAAGCTCACCTGTTCGGGTTTGATGTGTTCGGAAGTGGGGAAGACATCCGGGTAGGAGGGGCGTTCGAAAACGCGGTCCAGGGCCTCCAACTGCTGCTGGGTGAACGCGTCGGCTCGCAGGTGCTTCCTTAAACTCTCCACGCTGCCCTGAGAATCGTTGCCCGGGCCCGAGCCATCAGAGCCGCCTAAAAATAGAAGCGCAGGGACAAAGTTTTGCGTCAAAGTTCTCCGACATGTATCGGCATTGTTTGCCTAATAGCTTCGTTGCCAAAGTCATTTTGGAACATTTTAAAACAGGACAAATTCAACAAACGTGAAGAGTCCCGGCGCTCACGAATTGGAACATTTTTCAGTTTGTGGTGCGGCGTGGCGCCAAGCGAAATGCTCAACTCTGGTTGCCGCCGCGCGTCGCTGCGGTGCCAAATCAATGAGCGGGTTTGTCTGTGCCGCTCTACTAAGTGCAGTGTGAAAAGCCGACGCCATCTCCATTTGGTGTCAGAACGGCGCTCCAAAGCACATCCGGGCGATGGCCGTGAAACCACTTAGTGCTGGAGTGTTGTAATGGAATATATTGTTGTAAAAAAGGAGATGATCAGTTGATCATGATCTCAAAAAAACATACTCAACTCAGTCTCTGCTTAGTATTTTTTTACATGTGATGGATTTATTATGTACGGCTTCCAATTATTAGTGTAGGTTTATGATAGAAAGCTTACATGTACGTTGAACATGAACATTCATTCATTCATTCATTATCCTCACGAGGGTCGCGGCGGGTGCTGGAGCCGATCTCAGCTGTCTTCGGGCAGTAGGCGGGGGACACCCTGAACCGGTTGCCAGCCAATCGCAGGGCACACAGAAACGAACAACCATCCACACTCGCACTCACACCGAGGGACAATTTGGAGTGTTCAATCAGCCTGCTGTGCATGTTTTTAGAATGTGGGAGGAAACCGGAGTACCCGGAGAAAACCCACGCAGGCACGGGGAGAACATGCAAACTCCATACAGGAAGGCCGGAGCTGGAATTGAACCTCTGCACTGTGAAGTCGACGTGCTAACCACTCGACTACCGGGCCACCCTTGACCATGAACGTGTTTAAAAAATATATATATATTTTTTGAATCGGACATCTACACCAACCGAAACCCCTTTTTGCTTCCATTCTTCTGCACCTTTTTCTACAAGATTATGGAATGGGTTTCATTGGGATATTCAATCCATTCGTGACGTTTCTGGAGGACACTGGAAGTCAGTCCCCATTTATTCTGGAGGTGTTTCAAAAGGTTAAGGCCAAGTTCTTCCGAAGAAAACTTGGAAGCCATTGCCCAAAAATCCAACAGAGCAATATGTCCGGGACCAAGCCAGGCTACTGAGACTTTGGCCTCCACAGTGTATATTCCCAGATACCGAGGGGACAAAAGCTGAGCCTTTGACGGTACCACCTCAGTGACAAGCAGCTGAACCCCCAGCCGGAAGATTTTTTTTTTTTTTGCAGAGGATTTCAGCCTACCATATCCCAGGAGGCTTTGTGAGATAAGCACCAGGCAAACGTGGTTTTGAGCAAAACAGGTTGAGAGAGTGATGGCACGAGGAGCAGTAGCAGTAAATTGCCATTGGGAACAACCTGCATGTCTGCCTTTTTTTTTTTTTATCTACCTCGACTCCGCCTCGCACACTCGGGCAGCTCTCGCGTCCTCCACCTCTCCTCGGTGGCCGCCATCAGCACGGTCATCATGTGATAGGTCTATGGTAATTGATGGATTACCTTCAGCGCAAATATATACTTGCAAGGGAGAGTGCCTGTTTCGCGAGAGGAAGTGGGTGGAGGGGGACTGTGAGGGCCCGTCAGGGTCATCATTCAGGATTACCTCTCACACACACACACCGGATATACTCTCATACACACACCTGATATCCTTTTCCACATCATACTGAGATATCCTCATATAATATACTGAGATGTGCTCAGAATATATTGAAATATGCATTTTAGTAGTGTGCCTGACAATCAGTTCAGTAGTGTTTGAAGGTTTGAAAAAAACCCAAAAAAACAGGACTGTGTGCGAGAGCATCTCGGTTGTATTTGTGTGGGCATACGAGAGAGCGCTTAAGTAGCACATTTGCAAATTCAAAATATGCGATGTGAAGGAGAACATTCCGGTGAATGGAAAAAAAAAATCGGTAATTGGTGTGAGAGCTTTTCAGCGATGTGCGAGAATGTTTCAGTAATATGTATGAGCTTTTCCGTAGTATTTGAGTGTTTCAGTTTTGTGTGTGTTTGTTTCAACAATTTGTATGAAAGCAGTTAATTAGTGTGTGAGTATTTCAGTCGTGTGTGTGTGAGCATTCGAGTTGTGCGTCCGACAGCATTTATTTCGTGTGAGAGCTTTTCAGTGAAGTGTGAGAATGTGTCAGTCATGTGTATGAGCTTTTCAGTAGTGTATGAGTATTTCTCACTTGTGTGTTTGTGTACGTGTGTGTGTGTGTGTGTGTGTGTGTGTGTGTGTGTGTGTGTGTGTGTGTGTGTGTGTTTCAATAGTGTGTATGAGAGCAGTTCATTAGTGTGTGAGTATTTCAGTAGTGAGTGTGAGCATTTGAGTTGTGCATCCGACAGCATTTAATTTGTGAGTGTGAGCATTTCAGTAGTCCTTTTAGTCGCTGAGTAGTGTGAGAGTGCTTCAACAATCATGCGAGTGAGAAAAATAATGAGTTGGTTGAGAGCATTTCAGTCGTGAGTATGTGAGTTTCAGCAGTGTGCATGAGTTTTTTTAGTTATGTGTGGGTGTTTCGGTAGTATTATTATTTATTTTCTTTGTGAGAGAATTTCAACATTATGTATGAGAGCATTTCAGTTATTTGTACAAGCGGTAACCCTGAATTATGTCTCTGCCGGTCTCTGGCAAGAAAGTGTGCCCGGCGATTCCGTCCGCAGCCTCTCCTTCCGCCAGCAGCAAATGGAGAGGCATTATTTAACGCGACTATTTCCTGGTGAACGCATTAGCCTTCCCTTGTTGTCTCTGTGTGGCTGCCTGCCACCACCGCCAGCGCATATTGCCTGTCTTCCCGAAACCAGAATGGAGTGAGGTCCGAAAGACGACGGGGGCGCCGAGGGCAAGCGTATGCATTTCCTCACACAGTCACCCTCTATATAAACAAATGAGCCCTCTCCTTTTCCCAATCTCTGACCCCATCCACAACGTCCGCCGCACACTCATCACATCTGGACAACCCAGAAAAAAAAACAAATAAATAAAAAAATCTGTAGGCAAACCATCCAGCCGGCATTCCCGCTGCCTTTCCTCCCTCCCTCTGTCTCTCTTCCTCCGGCTACAGCGGATGAGGGCTTAGCTCCCGTACAAATCTGTCATTCTAAATTTGCAGCAGATTATGTTCTCTCCTGGGCGAGCCGGCGCTGATATATGATATGCAAGTCCACTATTGATTGCCTGCTCTGCCGGCGGAGGAGGGAGGCGAAATGAACTTGGAATGAACAGCATGCCTCAACTCATTGTGCGTATAATACTCTACTTAATCCCACATTTTTCTGTGCTATGGAATTCAATTGATCAATCATGTTCCACTGATGGTACCATTTCAGGGGCGTTATTGCCATTCTGCTCGGTTGCTTGACCTTTTTTCAATGGCTGAGGCCAGGGGATGAACCTGGCTCGCACCAAGAAATAGATCCACGGGGGGGAATGGAATCGAGAGCGGCAATTGGGTGTGTGTGCGTGTGAGTGTGTGTGTGTGTGTGTGTGTGTGTGTGTGTGTGTGTGTACGTGTAGACGGAATAGAGGGCGTGATGGCTGTGTTTTTACGGGGAAAAATACCGTGTATTGACTTGTGTTTTGTGGTGCACATGGGAGAGAGAATTTTTATTTTTTTATTTTTTCTTAGCCCCACCAAACGGTTATGTTTTTTTGTTTGTTTGTTTGTTTGTTTGCAGTATTGTACACACACATAAAAAGACAATTTTAGCTAAGCTACATGGAAATTTGGTTTCGCTGAGGGAATTCTGATAACCATTCTGAAATTGATTCGGTATGTCTGAATAAATAGAAATGTGACACACCTTAGAGAAGAGTGGCATTGTCGAATGATGCATCAAAATCATGAACAATGAAGTTATAGTTTCCGATGCTGAAACTCCTCACCGCTAAAAAAGTGTTTGCTTCATCCTCTAACATCTTATGCCGACACCTCACCACGAAAATATATCTGCTTCAAGCCTTCTGTGGCTGGAATATATCTCACCGGGTTGTCATGGGGACTTTCTATGCTATAACGAAAGGTGCTAGCCGCCAGCTAGCTCGCAAGCTAACAGGCTTTGGGTTATCCTCTCAGCTGGCGAATGGCCGGTGAGCTCGTTCGTGGCGTTACCTCCTCTCTCAGGAATTTCATTCAGAGCCCCAAGTAGCTCTGCGAATTGTGACCGACAGGTAGGATGTAAGACTGAATTTTCGGGATGTAGACATAGCTAGCTAGTTAACTGCGCAGTTTGTTTCATCTAGTGGTGGAGGGGTAACTAATGTCCCGCACAAAATTTCAGCATATTCAGGCCCGCACAAATAATGACAAACACAGAAATAGTGAAAAACAGTTAAAGGCTATTAGCTCTATTATTTTTGACCGGCCTAAGCCTAGCATGATCTAAATCTGTGCAGAGGCAGGTTAGACTGTGTGCTGGTAATTTTGCAAATGGCCACGAGCGATATTTCTACACATGTCTTCATTTTTTAGGGTCTTTCAGTGCCGTTGACATCCTCTACTGCTGATTACGAAAAATGGAATCAGTTAGAAACTAACGAAAAAGAGTGTTAGCCAAATATTATCATTATCTTCCCATAATGTAATTAAAACTGCTGTCTGTGTTTGAATCCAAAATGGAGTCATAAATTGCCTCATATCAGCAAGTCTCGGGAAAAAAAAATACAGCCAAACAGAATCAATAGCAAGTGTTAGCGCATGCTTGCCCTGCCCAGCAGACACTTTGCTTACCAAAGCAAACCTTTTTTAAGAGAAATTTGTACCATCTTTCATCGGTTACGCCAATTATGCACGAGAAGTCATTGCAAATTTGTAGCATGACCAAAAAAAAAAAACATGACAGACTCAGCCTTTCAGCGGAATTAACAGTAAATCATGCATTTTCAGAATTCCCCATTAGGGGCTGATGTTTGACATATATCATATAAGATCGCTGCAATAAATCAAATTCATCCCTTTGACAGTCAGCGTGTCAAGTGGAGTGTGAAGCCCAACTGTCAGTGTGTGTGTGTGTGTGTGTGTGTGTGTGTGTGTGTGTGTGTGTGTGTGTGTGTGTGTGTGTGTGTGTGTGTGTGTGTCTCTCATTGACTGGTCTGTTTCATTTTCTCTGTGGTTTTTGCAATCCCTCTGGGCGTCTCAGCAGGTATCCCCGCTATCACTCCCACAGCACCAAGCTGACTGTGTTTCTCCGTCTTAACACCGCCGCGTGAGGAGATAAGCCCAGATAAAAACAAGCCGTGTCAAAACAGCCACTTTCACACGGCGTCCCTAAAGCAACGCGCGTTAATAACCCGCTTTGATCAACCCTGCGGAGCAGATGGATGCTTTCAGTGTTTCAAACTCCCACTGACAAACGCTAGCTCGTCCTTGCAGATGCTATAAAGCGCCTCATCGCGGTGAAAGCAATTAGCCGGGCGCAAAAATGTATCGGGAGAGATTTGTTTGGAAATTCTTTTCGGAAATATATTTGTCATTTTCATGGGTTTTGGAGATTCATAAACATATGCGTAATTTGCACGTATTTGTTGATGTGTCGGCACACAAGTCTGAGATCTTCACACGTGTGGAAAGGCCATGCCACCTCCGTCCACTAGGAGGCAGTGTTGCTGTCTCCACTGAATAGGAATGAGCCAGCTCCCGTTTTTTTTTTTCATTTAAAAATTGGAAAGTGAAAAACGGAAAACGAGTAGTTCCCCGATATTCTCTTATGTTTTTATTTAAAGCAAGTCCGGAAACAAAATATGACTGTAATTAGTTTCCCTTGAGCTTGTTTCGGATTGAAGCCGGAAGATGTTCTTCCGCGACTAGCTCTTATTGGAATTCTTTTGGCAATGATACCAACTGGGGGGGGGGGGGGAATCTTTTCTTCGCAAATTTGTTTTAACAAATAAGGTAAAGGAAGTTCCATAAAATTCTTCCCAAATATGATGCTGCAAAGCATTATTTGACAAAGTTCAAAAGGGACATTTCTGGACAACTCTGCAAGGACTTCGCTTTAAAATGGGGAAATGCTTATTTTTGTTGTTTTAGAAGGTGAATTGAAAAGTTATTTTTTATTTGTTACACATTCTAGTTCAATTCGATCTCCACAAATGCAAATACCATTACCAAAAAGCAAACTTCAGACACTTGTATCATGATAGTCTTACGTAAAATTGATCAGTAGATCACTGAACAAAAAGTCTGTAAAAAACAGTCACTATTTGTACTACTGAAAAACCTTTTGAACGTGCCTGACCAATTTATATACCACTGAGATATTATTATTTGTTCAACGAATTTTTTTGTAAGCTAGCACTCCCCCCCCCCCTAAAAAAAGTGCAAAAAATAGCAGCTGAAGAACATTTTCGGGCATCAAAGTAAAGCAAGCTCCAAAGAAACAAATTTTCTTTCCCGACTTATGTTAAAATAAACACATAAAAGAAGACGAGAAAAAGGCTCATTTTCCATTTTTCAAATTCCAATTTTGAAACGCAAAACGGGAACTGGCTAACCGAAGTGCCCACTCCGAGCGCACTCCAATGCTATCAAACGTCACTGTTTTGCTTTGTCCCCGCAGGGGAGGTAAATGTCCTGCAGTGGCACGGTGGCGCTCTCATGTCCTTCTTTCATCTCCACGTTTTCTCTGATAAGATAACCGAGGGGGAATCCAGGCGGGAGCTTGTTTGAAAGGCAAATGAATTCCTACACACCGCCTCGCTGTAAATCATCGGCCTTCCTTACACGGGCCACTTTTCCTCATCCGTCGGCCGCTGATAGCTGGCATCATGAGAAATAGTGGATCATTTGTTGATTTTTTTTTCTTTCCTTTTTTTTCCCCCTAATGCATTTAAAGAAGAAATAGGAGGGGAGCACAAACAAAGTGGTATACCCAGAGGGTGAACACTGCTTCCCTGTAAGCTAGCTATATTTATGAAACCTCTGATGCGGAAATGAGAGCGGTGGATACGGTGGGGGAGGGGGGGAGAAAAGAAAGAGAGAGAGAGAGAGAGAGAGAGAGACTGCCTGAGCTGTTAAGATCCTGTTATGTTACATCGTGTTTATTAATTCGATTTAGCACCATCAGACAGTTTACTTATTGTCAGCAGGCATCAAGATGCTGCTTGATGCTTACACTCACGTCTTGTACCAGCCCCCGCCCCCCCTCCACACACACTCCTTTTTTTTCTATTTAATTTCAACTCTGGATGTTAATCTCGATAGAAGTCGACTAATACACACAACGTCACGTGATGAAAACTAGAAAGGCTGTTCATTAGATGACTGCTTCAAATCCTAAACTTGAATTTAAAGACCGTGTAAAGGTGGGCTAAAGGATTTAGAAAAATAATCTTGACGCATTTTTTTCCCCCTTAATATAGCAAGCTTTTTTTTTTTTTTTGAACAAAGGTCCTCTTGTAGTTTTTAACAGCGGCATCAATAAGTTCATCTCTATTGCTAGAAACAATGTCAGATTTATTATACATAAATGTTTTGGTGTTAGGCAAATGAATCATGAATATCATGTGAAAAGACCTTGCGGTCTTTTAATTGTACACGACGACAACTTCAAACAATTCTACCAAACAAGTGTGCCATAAACTTAAGTCAGTTTAAGACAGTAATGCAAACAACCATCATATGTGGTTTTATCACTGCCATTTTTCATAAAGCAATAATATGTAAACGTGACTTCTTAAACACTGTACTTAGACACCATATAAACAAATTAAAAAAAAATAAACAGAGTGGAAGATAATGTCTGAAAGTGGGGAGAAAAGACGCACTACTGTTTGTTGTGCTATAACGCTAAGCCATTTTTCACCATCTCAAGTTTTTTTTTTTTTTTTTTTTGGGCGACCAGTGATGCGCTTCGGCATACAAAGTAAGAGCTCAGGCGCCTTCTTTTGACTCAGTGGTTATCCGATTAATTATTATTACTTGGCCCATTATTACAACTTGAGCGTGTGGTTAGCTAGCTAGCTATCCATTCACCCTGAAAATGCCTCCACCCTACATGTCACAATTTACAAAACAGCTTGGTACAATTAACGGTGTCGGAGGAGCCTGCCGCCCATTCACAAGCTGATGGGAACCCTAGGTGTCTGTTAGCACGTGAGCTAGCTGGTGGCTAGTCCCCATTATTACAACTTGGGCGCGTGGTTAGCTAGCTAGCGAAGACTACACCCTGAAAATGCCTATGTCTATAAGCAGAATTTTTTTTTTCGCAGCTCAACATGCATACCACCGCCAAAACTCCCTATTTCAGCAGTTCTGTCAAACCTCTTTGTCCCTCAAGTCGACTTCTGGTCAATCTTTTCAATTTTCAATACTCAACAAATAATAAAACTCAACTCTGGCGCGTCTCTGAAAATTTGGCAGGGTTGGTCACCACACTTCACTCTGTGTTGTGTCAAACATTTATTTTTACCTTACTGGTCCTTTAGATAGGAAATTCAAAATGTCCATCCAGACAGTTATCGAGTGCACCCCTGTCCTGCTTTTATACGACTTCTCATTTGCTCAGCTCTCCGGAACCAGCCTGCCGTTTAGCATTTTAGTTTTTTTTTTTTTTTTTTTTTTGGTGGAAACATAATTATTCCCCTTGCCTTATTCTCCCTCCTCAAGCTGAGTAATGCGTCGCTCCATTAATTCTCAGCGTCGCTGCCCATAATTGACTTTTCCCTGACATGATTCCTTCTCCATCCAGCGAAGTGCCTCTCCGTATATGAATTAATTTATTTGTTTGTTTATCTGTGTGTGTGTTTGTATCGTAAAGGGTGCCACCGTTTGCCGCTGTGTCACGACGAGCCATGTTGCCGAATGCAAATGGTGAACACGCACAAGACCCGAAAAAATAAGACGAGGCTGATAAGAAGAAGTGGGAGGGGTGTGGGGAGTCTTTTGTGTCCTCTTCTAACGCCGTGGCCTCTTCTTGTCTCCATGTTACGCTCTGTGGACCCTCTTATACCTGCGCTTTTTTTTTTTTTTCCTTCTCTTCCTTCCGCCACCCCCGTCCTCCCATCATGGCGCTCATGATGCTATTTATTTCTCTTTTGCCGTGGGTGCATTTATTTTCCAAAGCGCGCTGCTATCGACTCATTGCCACGGCACGGCTTGACTAGCCAACCAGCGGCGGCTCAGGTTAAAAGCCGCATGTTAACTGATTTAAACTCGGCCAGCGGGTCACGTGTGTTAAAATGCTACATATGCCGTACAATCATCCCACACGGCCAAATATCGCATGCGGACAAATCAAAACACGGACCCCTGTAATCAGTTTGCCTTGGCTCCTGCATACAGTCTCTCGTTCTTTTATGTCACGACTTAACAGCCCCGCCAGGCCGTATTTTCATTTTCTCATCAGCTTCCTCTGCAGCCGTGCTACAATCACAAGTTATGACCTTTGTTCTTGCTCTGATTTATCACCGTAGCTCCCGACTGGCCCGTCCTCCCGAGAGCTCCTCCACTGGACTCCATTCAGGATGTGCTGAGCCAAAGCTGAGGTCACATCAACCCGCCCTGGCCCGACTACTGTAGTAGAAGGTAAATCTACATGAAGCTGTCTCCCATTTTAATTCGCTCCTGGCTTTATTATTATTATTTTTTTTTTTTTATTGTACCACCCCAAGACATAATCGCACAAAAACTTGTCACTTTCTTGATCCGTAATTTGGAAAAGCTACGTAGTTAAAATCCCACTGTACATCCCACGATGCATTGAGCCCATCCCAAAAAAAAAAGTGTTGTTGTTTTTTGTTTGTTTTTATGGGGTAGTTGTGGAGCAACACATCACAACAATACACGGTTCGAAACAATACGCCATTATTATTGATCATTCATTCATTCCGTCTTGATTATAGAAGATCCATTAGCTGACAGTGCTTGGGTATTTTGTAATTATGCGACAGCAAGCGATGACTGCGTTTGTTGTCATTCACTCATTTCTTTCTTCATAATCGACGACATCGGGATTTTGAGTCGACTATCCAACTCCTCTATATTAAAATTAACAATAATTCACACAGTACTTACTGCCTAATCACCATCCAGTGATTTTGACTTTTTACTGAACTATAAAGGTCCACTGTATAAAAATGGAGTCATTCACTTATTCTCGTTATAAAATCACGACATATAATGCCACTCTGATAATCACGATACAAGGATTTTTAGTGGATTTTTTTTTTAATGCAGTCCCTTTTTCATGGACTCTTTATTGAACTAAATAGTCCACAAGGCCTCACGCTGACCTGTTACTTTGTAACCCCAGAAAAGCACCTTTGTGGTAACGAAGTGTCACACGAAATGTGGACGAGACCTCGTAAGTCGCACCTTCTGTCTCTAATTTTTTTTTTTTGTTTGTTTTGTTTTTTGTTTTGTTTTATTTCTTCTTGGGTCTGGGTTTCTTGTCTGTGGTATTGTTAGAGGCACAAGATGGAGCCAAAGATGGCAGTTTTTCTGCGCCCCCCCCCCGATGATATTTATCATTTACAATTGTTATCAAATATAACAAAAAAGTGCTTTTAAGAAAAAGGCAAGCCCCCTTTAACCATTTCAGGGACAGCGGTCACTACAGTGGACAGCGTATCATGTTATCAGGTTACAGGCTGCATGAAAGGGTTCAAATGTATTGTACCCACAAGGTAAATACCAAAATGTACCGAGATGAATGTTTGAAAACCAACAATCCTAAAAAAAACAAACCTTCACTAAAAATGGACTTTACAATAATGTTAAATACAACTGAACTGCATTGAGACAGTGATCCTTTCAGTTACCTCCAGAGGGAGTTTCGGTACCAGTCGTAATAGCTTATATCAGATATTTTTGATGTTTTCTACAAAATAAGAATCCCTACGCAGCGATTCATTTCGACGAGCCCCCCGGAACCGTACCACGACAGGACACGTGTGACTACGGCACAGCCGTTGTCACCTAATCCTCTTGGCATCCACTCCCAAGGCAGGTTTAAATGACTGAGCGCGCGAGTACAACGGGGCTAATTTTCCCTACTTTGCTTTTAATGCATTTGGCAAGGAGCAACATTCCATTTCCTGTAATGAGATACACAAATAAATCTGGCTATGGATAGATTTGGAGTGAAGTGGCGGCGGTGGCGGCGGAGACGCTGGCGGCGGGGGCTAAAGGACACCTTCTTCCCAGCGTTGTCGTAATTGGTATCGCTGCTCGCAGACATGCAAACCAATCTCTGCGCAGATAGGGTTGAGACTCCTTTTTTTTCCTCTCTCTCTCTCACCCCCCCTCCCCTTAAGGCTATTTCTTTTGTCTTTTCGATAGCTTGCACATCCACGATAGAGCGAAGGAAAAGGGAGGGGGGGGGGCTGTTAATTTGTGAATTAATAGCTTCCTTCTCGGCAGAATTGCAAATTCCTTTAAATGTCACAGTGTTCGCCGGCTGAAGAGCATTCGGGGGGAGGGGTCTCATTTCTTTCACACAGATACGTATGCTTGCACAAATGCAAAAAAAAAAAAAAAAATACATCCCCCTTTGACCCCCACGCCCCCTCCCTCCCTCGAAACATGCTCCTGAAGTTCATCTTGGGCGCACATCATCTTTTTCCTCCTTTCAAATGATGACCACTCATTTGTGAACCCTTCGTCGCCACGACAGCCTGACTCCATAATCTTGTCGACCGTCATGTACGCTTTAAGTTAAAAATCTGCGTGCAGCTACCCCCCGACCCCCGCGAGTTGGAATTCTTTTTTTTTAACCCCCCCCCCCCGCCCCCCCAGACAAAAATGTTATCCATGGCATTTTTACAGTAACACAAATCATTTGTGGGCAGTTTCAGTCATCAGCATATTGCATCACTGGTGGAAAATTATTCTCTTTCAATCATATTGACCGGCATGCCATTTCCATTCATTTTAGCTCAGTTACTTCATCCCATGAAGGGCAAAAAAAAAAATAAAAATAAAACCCCAGCAAGGACATCAAGTACTGTTTGACCCTCTTAAAAAAAAAATGAAAGAAAAAAAGGAATATAGGAAGCTCTAACTTACAATGTCCTATTTTCCTTCCGTCCAAGTGGTTGCCAGTCCAGAGAACTAAAGAGACACAAGCATAAAAGGGAATTGGTCTTTTTTTCTTTTTTGATCAAATGTTGACACACACAAACACACATGCTCTGACTCTACCGTCACTCTGTTGCTACACTTGTTCGGGTCTCCGCTGGGGACATGTTAATTCACAGGCATTTAAAAAAAAAAAAAAAAAGCCAATTGTTTGCACATCCAATAATCTATTAGCCCACGGGCGGTGTGTGTCCACAATGAGAAAATCCAGCTCGGACCGGTTTGCCTTCCACTTAATCTTTGAATGTATCCGCACATGTTTTCTTTGCATATCCGGCAAGTCGTACTTTTTTTTTTTTTTTTTTTAAATGCTACGTACGCTGTCGTCTAAAAATAGCGTGATTAATTGCGGATGGTTAATTTGCCCTTGTAGCGTGACAGTTGAGCGCGCTCTAAAATAAGAGTCCGCGATAAAACACAGGGCATTAAAAAAAAAAAAAAAGCTTGTTTCAATCGCAAGGCCCTTTTCTGAGACGCCACTCGGAAACACGCTCGGCCTCGGCGGCTGTCACAAACGCCGTCTTTCCTCAGAAACTACAGACAGACGGGGAGGCGAAACAGGGAATTTTTTATGAGAGAGGGCGTTCTCCGTTTCCTCACCTTCGTCTCGTTTTCTCTTCTCGCCGTTGGAGCGGGGGATTCCCAGGATGCCGTTGATGGAGTAGGATCCTACGGGGTCGTTGGAGGCGCTGGTCACAGGCGGGGAGGCTGTGCTGGGTACTGATGGGGAAAACTTGGGTCAGGCTCACTCCCTTTTCACGATATAGTGGCCCCCGAATTCATCCTACTGGAATAATCGCCAACAACTCAACACATTTTGTTCCCTTGCTCCATTTCAAGTAATCGGATCATTAAATATACCAAGAAGACGATTTCTCAGTCAGCTGCAGTCATTTTTTTTCACAGAGGATAAAGAATAGAGGCCTGTGAGAATTGTCAGATGGTGTCTCTGTGTGTTGGTTCCCCGTTTGTGTTGAGATATTCCTTTGGAGGGGTTCTAATACGCTAACACCGATGCGCTACGTTAGCATGTTCATGGTGTTTTGCATTATATGTTAGCATTAAGCTAAGCAGACTTTCTCAAGGCATAAACGTGATTGTTTTTTTTTTTTTATAAACAATGTTGAATTCTCTTTGTGTGAGGTTTAGTTTCACACAAAAATTCAATGGGGGGGCAACAAACAGCTTGGAGCCTCTATTTTGAAGAATGGTTCACGATACACCAAACTGCTGCTTATTTGGAAGTTTGCTGCTTTCAAATACTGATCGTAGCAAACATTTCTGTCAAAGCAAAAGGTCGACCAAGTGGCGGCTTGTATCTCAGAAAGTTATGTACTACTACATGACTATTTTGTGAACTATGTAGTCGCTGTATGAAAATTCCTAATCACTGTAAAAGGCTTTTAAAAGGATATTTTAGCTAACTATATAGTTCACAACATAAAAATATGACCATGTAGGGATTTTTACATAGTCGATTTTATAGTCACGAATAAGTACTTTTAAAAATAAAATTTTTTTCAAGGTTTCTTTTTTTTTTCTTTTTTCTTTTTTTTTTGAATTTTGGGGAGGCAATCCAACCCCAGTTTTTCCACATTGGTCTTAGCCAGCTAGGAAAGACAAGGCAGCTTTATTTGTATTGCATGTTTTATACACAAGATAAATCAATGTGCTTCACAGAAGCAAAAGTCAGCACCGAAAACCAAGCACAGCAGTTACTCAGAAATTTTGAATTTTATTTTATTGTATTTATTTTTTTGCCAGTGCAATTATAATGGGCATCAGTGATATGTAGATTTTTGTGGGTCGGCCCGGTGCCTGTCCCCTGTGAATACTGGGAGTCGACTATCTACTGGTTCAGGAATAAATGATTCAAAATTTTTCTATTATGAACATAGACTGTCCTAAAAATTCCACAAAAAAATCGCTAAATAATGTAGAAGTATTTTGATATCGCAGACTATATATACAGTTTGTTTATATATATTTTATTTTTTAAATATACTGTAGTGGACTCTATACAGTAGTCCACCAAAATATTCACTTAAAACCCACGATGTGGTAAGAGTTTATGAAAATAAGTTTCTTGGACTAGTAATAGACACCAAACTATCCTGGAAGCCACATATTGATAATGTTAAAAGGAAAATATCCAAAACTATCGGGATACTCCATAAAACTAAGGATGTGTAGCGTGTATTCAGCTGGCGTGGTGGCGCTGTCTGCAAAATTCATCACCGAACGGCCCACTTTGAACATTGTCATGGAAAATTGCTGTGGGATGAAACGATATCCTTCGCGTAAAAGAGATGACAGGCAGATTTATTGGCAGCATCATATATAGCAGCCCCCGGTATAGGAACGCATGTTTATGCAGTACGACTTGGGGGGGCAAGTTTTTCTTATGAATCAGTCGAGAGATGTTAGTGGTGGTCTGGCTCTGTTGTGAAACTTAAAGATTTATGGAAAATAGATTTTTGAATAGCTTGAATGTTAAAAAAAAAGAAGTTTGCTGGTCAAGAGAGGGCGCCTCCCTACCACTGACTGTGGCCCCTTTTCTTGAAGACAATAATCAAATAAAAATATTGATAATAAAATGAAAGTATTTTGAAAAATCTCTTTATCTATTCTTGGATAAGAAGGGTAAAAAGTAGACAGTTAATCATGAGTAAAGTAGGTCATGCATCTCTGTTGTCTGATTTGGTGACATATTTCCAGTGGGGCACAAAGCTTTCCCAATCGATTCTCATCTCAAGTATTTGATGAAATGTAGATTTCTTCCTTTTCTTTGGTATTGGAAATGGTCAATATACATTATTGCTCAAAAAGGGGTAGGACTAGATAAGTTGTATACTTCTTCCTAGTCCTTTGAACATATAACTGTGATGATGTTTGTATTACTTACTTTTACTTTTATTTTCCTTTCATAATTTTTGTTTGCATTTTGTCATGTTATTGTATGTTTTATATATGTTCAACAAACAAACAAACAAACAAACAAACAAACAAACAAACAAACAAACAAACATGTGGTTCATCAAAAAGTCAATAAAATGTAGCGCGAAAACAGTGAATGATTCCCAACACAGCTTGGGTGTGAATATTAACCGTGCTTTTCCGTTCATTCCAGCAAATCCGAACTCTCACCTATGGTGTGTCCCGGCGTGGAGAGCGGCGTGACGGATCCATCGGGGGACGGGTGAAACTGCTGCTGGACTTTGGTGCGGATAATCCTGGTAAAGTGAACCATACACGCGCGCGCGCACACACACACACACACACACACACACACACACACACACACACACACACACACACACACACACACACACAGGATCAATCAATGTCGCCTCCCGAGCGTGGAGATTTCACAGCAGGCCGGGCCACTCCGGGACACTTTAAACACAGCTCATCATGTCCACTTAGGCCCCGTGCATGTGAAAGCACGCCGCGGTCCGAGGGCCCCGCTCGTATCCTCCCCATTCAGGTCCCAAATAGGCAATCCCTGGGTTTTAGGGTCAATCTCCGGGTTTGTGTGTGTGTGTGTGAGAGGCTAAATGGGGCCCTCCCGAGAATGTGCTTTTCAATCTAGCGGGAATTCTGAGCTCTGAGATATGATAAAGTCCATCCCCGCACACACACACACACACACACACACACACCGGGGGGACGATGTGATGTGGCGGGAAAGTCTTCATTGCACATTGGTCTGAATGATCTTGCAAACAAAGCATGAAATCACATCAATTCACCTCAATGATCAGCTTCACTGACTCTACCTGGCCAAGTCTAATAATCTCCCCTCCCCCCCGGCTGCTTCTTTTTCCCTCTCTTCCACCCACATCCATTTCTGTCATATCTACTTGCTGGACCAGGTTTAGCCCCAAAACGCTGCTGAGAAAACACTCGCGGCCCAGCGGCTGTTAAAATTCACAATTGGCGAGGCCCATGTTCTTTTGCCCCGCATTTGACGAGTTACTTTCTCGGGGTTCCTGCGAGTCATGAAGGAAAAAGAAAAATTCTTAAAAGGCGTTGAATCTCAAAACAAGGCCTCAGTTGGCATTAAAAAGACTGTGAAGACATGATGAGTGGGATTTTAGGATTGAAAATAGATGTAGTCCCAAATCTCAAAATAAATTCACACGCTGAAAAAATGATTCGTCTTCAGTACACTGGCGGGTCTCTTTTTGTGGGATCTCTGAAATCCAGAAAAATTTGAATATTTGCTTGACCACCACATTGGAGTGCCACTGCAAAATTGCGGACTGGGAAGATGTTTTTTTTTTTTTTTTTGGTGCCTGACCGCAGTTCAGCGCCAGTTTGAGAAGTTTACCGTGTCCTTTCTCAAAACAGAATCTGTTCTTGAAACGCCGAACTCCCAGAGCAGGCGTTGGCGTAAAAGTCTTTCCGGAGAGCTCCAGTGGAACTCGGCATCAACAAAAACTTGACTGAGCACTCGATTCAGGTTGACGAGCATCATAATACGTTCGCAGCCTCAGAACAACCTGAAGATGACAAAATCTGCTCAAATGACCTTTCCTGTGATGCTAAATTCCAGTGCAGCCTTCTGGATAATCTTTGCATGATTTTCTTTTTTAACCAACACGGATGCATTCCTTTCAGCGCATTAGATGAATTAAAAGTGAAGAATATCGATGCGGTTCTTGCGCTCTTCCATTTGTCTGTATGCCGCCCTTGACGGAAAAAAAAACTACCTCTCGGACTTTCTTGCTTTACCTCTCAATTAATTTCTCGTAACCTCTCCGCCGTCTATTTTGATCTTTCCGAGGTTGTCGCGACAATTGGCCAGGCTTTCGTACGAGCATAATACGAAGATCGCTGTAATGCTTTCAGGCAAACACACACACACACACACGGACGCTGGGATTTGCACAAGCTCTTTTGTCGACGCCGATCGCATTACATTCGCACCGTGACCGCGATAATCTTTTGATTGACATGCGAGCGCGAGATCATTGAATAACAGTCGGCGTCGGGAATCCCGTGCCGAGGCCCCGACAGGTGTGACGAAAGAGAATTACAAGGTGGCGCGGCGTGTGTGCGCGTGTGTGCTCGAGGCTCGGGCAGCGAGGGGTTAACGTCCTCAGGGATGGGGGGGGAAAAAATGTACACTGGTTTCATGTGTCTCATGTGTCCCCCCCCCCTCCTCTTCCCCCCACCTCACACCGTCCTCAAC